TAATTCTCTGTATATTAATAGAGGAGACATTATGTAGAAAATTTCTATGTGTCATCTAAAGAGAGTTTTAAGGAACTCCTAATAAAGACTATTAAAAATTTTTAATGATGAATATATAGAAACAACAAATATGTGATAATTAATATGGAGGATTTTATTTAAAGACTATAGAAAATATTTGAGAATATTTTTTTTTTTTATAACTATTAGATTTTTGGGGCAATTACAAAAATGTCACTTTTTGTGTGCACATTTGCAAGAATGCCACTTAGAGGTGTCCATTTACAAAAATACCACTAATTATAGATTTATAAAGCCTATATCTTAAAATTCTAAACCCTAAAAAATGTTTTGACACCTAAAACCCCCTAAACACTCAAAACTAAACCCTAATAAAGCATAATTAACCCAAACATAAATAATATAAAGAAAAAATAATTTTGAAAAANTGGCATTTTTGTAAAAATTTCAAAAGTGTGGTATTTTTGTAAAGTGGCATTTGAAAAGTGGCATTTTTTGAAATTTCTCTAGATTTTTTGACCCGAGTCAAACGCAAAATTAAAATATGTGAAACTCAAAATAAGAAAGATAAAACATATTATCTATACGTCAAATAGTATATATCTCCCATACAAATAAATTATTTTTATCTCACAAAATTTAATTTACATGACACTTATATTAAATGTAGAGAATTTTTTAATAATACCACTTTTAAGATACCATTTTTTAAAAATACCATCATTTTGAAACGTTTTAAAAAATGCACTAATCCTCTAGATATTAATTGAGTATATATTTGGTAAAAAAATCATATATATCATTCAATGGAGATTTTAAGACACATGTATTTAAATTAATCAATGAAAACATTTCAATTGAAATTATATGCTATGGTGGAATTCTCTACATTCTTTATTAATTTTATAATATAAACCCAGTACACATTTTGCAGATATAAGTTTTAGTAAATGTAATATTTAGACTTACCATTTGATCTATTTTAAAAAAAATGATATATTAAGATGTTTTTATTATTATATTTGTAACAGTATTATTTATTTGTAAACTACAATTACATTTACAAATATTTTTATTTTTTATTATTGAAAAACATATATTTTTCGTTTATATGTCCGACAAATTCATATAAATCTAAAATTTATTTGATTTATCGTATGCTATAATTTACACAAATAATAAAAATTAATTTTACATTTCAAATAAATTGAAATAATAACATTTACACTAGTTTTAATATTTTTTGCAAAATTGATCAATGTATATAACATCAAAGTATGCTTGGTCAAAATTTAACTTTATGACATTTATGTACAATACATATAATTTTGTACATTA